GGAAAGAGATTCCCTCATAGTCATGCATAGCATATAACCGAGGTCCAGTTATTAGATGCTTTCATAGGGAGCTTGGGGCTCTGAGTGAGTTAAGGAAAATGGCGACTGTGGTGTCAGGTGGCAGCTGTGTGGCATCTTGGCCAGGCTGTTGCTGTTAAATGCTGGTGTTGCTCTTCCAGCTCTTGGCTCTCTGTTGTTGTCTTTAGTTCTTGTCTGTTTTCTGAGCTTGGTTTTCCAACCTCTTCTCAATTTTCTGAGCCCACGCTTTCACTTTTTGTTCTAATCACAAAAGTCAGTTTTCATTATTTTCAGCAGAAAGATTTCAGGAAATGTTGGTCGAAAGCACTTTTTTTTTGCCCTCTTGTGTTGGCTTTTATTTTGTATTTTTCACCTCTTCCCATGCCTATGGCTGTTCTCTCAAATTTTCCAGGATAGGAGCAACTCTTCTATGCCATTGCATTTTTCACACCATTTGGCACAATGCTTGTACTCACGAAGTGCTAAATGGAGAAGTTGTATGACTTGTATATGGACTCAGATATAATCTGCTTCATTCCACCAAGGAGCTGTGACCTTCTAGCTGTGTAACTACAGCTAGATACTGTAAAATCCAACTGCTGCTAGATACTTTGAGGCCGATAACTATGTGATCCTGGGCAGCCTGAGAGCAACTGGAACGGAAATGGCCAGCCCGAGGACTGTACAAACAGCATTTTAGATGCCAGAATAAGTGATTAAGTGCCAAGGTTAACCTACTGGCATTACTTAATGAATTGAGGAATGTAGTTGGTAGCAATAGGCAATTGATTACTGAAAAGAAGCAATAATTGGGAAATGGCTGATGTCTTAAGGAGGTATAAAGGAAGGTAGGAAAACCGTAAAATCATGATGTGACACTGCTATGTAAAGCAGAGTGCGAGGATTCACATACATTCAGCAATATACTGTTATTAAAATATGTAAGTGCATATCAGAAAATGACTATTTAAAGACAACACTAGGGAACAAATTTTGGTAGTCCATGTAGATAGAAAAAACTGGAAAGAAGAGAAAGCATGAGAAATTTAATCTCTTTTATTTTCCCCGAATTTTGAGGGAGAGGGTCTCTAATATTATGATTTATTTTTCTGTATTTAAAATCAAAATAGAAAATGTGCCTCCTTTCGTAGGTGTTACATTTTAGGAATACTGTGAAAAATACAGGAACTTCTACAGAAACACACATGGAAACGATGGAAAGGCTAGAAAGTAGGGTTACAGGGAAAATGACCTCTGTCTCTACTAAGACGTGAACTGGAAAATAATAATAATAATAAATTGTGAGAAGAGTATTTGAGGACAAATTTATAACCAACACAAGGGCCTAAAAACCAGCAAAATGACATGCTAAAATAAATAGTGGGGTTTTTTTCATTGGAGAATTTTAAGAAAAGAGTATCGTTGCCTTCCAATTATGGTTTCATGTCTATTCTCCCCAAAGGCATGTGTACTTAAAACCCCTCTTGGCCTCATAAGAAGATTCTTTGGTCCTGATGAGACTATGTGCATTAGAATCACTTCTCCTGGAAAGGAGACGCTAAAGGGTACTTGAATAAAATATTAAAAATTATGAAGGACATAACAAAGGCCAATCAGTCCTTTCTTTTCCCCAGACCCCATAATATGAGAACATGGGTTATTTGATGAAATTAAAGAGTAGCAAATTAAGTGCTAATAAAATGAGATAGTCACTTACATAATTCATTGCCATGGGAGGTCACAGAGGCAAATTTTGTGGCTACATTAAATGTAGGGCTGGATAATTTTATGACCGCTAATATTTTTAGCAGTCAAGGCTGATACTGTGAGAGAAGAAATTCTATTACATTCTCCACTAGATGGTTTGCAGGTACCTCTGGCAAGAGGTCCTTGTGAGTTCTAATCTTTGGTGTACTAAACATTGTGGGTTTTTTTTTTTTTTTTTTTTTTTTTTTTTTTTTTTTTTTTTTTTTTTTTTTTCTTGAGACAGAGTTTTGCTCTTTCGCCCAGGCTAGAGTGCAGTGGTACCATCTTGGCTCACTGCAACCTCCGCCTCCTAAGTTCAAGCAATTCTCCTGCCTCAGCCTCCCGAGTAGCTGGGATTACAGGTGTGCGCCACCACGTCCAGCTAATTTTTGTATTTTTAGTAGAGACATGGTTTCACCATGTTTGCCAGGCTGGTCTTGAACTCCTGACCTCAGGTGATCTGCCTGCCCCGGCCTCCGAGAGTGCTGGGATTACAGGTGTGAGCCACTGTGCCAGGCCTAAAAATTGTTTTTTGGTGAAATTTCCCAGGAATCCCATTTATACTTCAGTCCTACCTTTTCTTGTAGAGATCCAAAAGTCCTCTCTAGTCAGAAGCAGTGGAGAAAGACACTGCCCAGAATTCAATCATTTCTGGTCTTTGGGAACCACTCGACTTATTTATCGTATACCACCTGTGTGTCAGGTCCTTTGCTTGGAGTTTTAAAAAATCTTTTGGGTACATAAACATTTGGACACATCAGTAGCATTCTGAGTGAAGGGGATGTACTAAAGGTAGAATGCAGAGTTACATGGAAGCATAAAGAAGCAAAGGGGTGTCTCAACCTGTGTGGTTCAGGGAAGGCTCCCAGGGAAGGTGATGTTTGAACTGAGTCTTAAAAGATGAGCAGCAGCTCTCTGTTCGGCAAGGCAGGGAAGGGCATTCTTGGTAGAAGGAGCATACAGCATGCAGAGATCTAGAGACAGTCTGGCATAATGTGTCAGGGAACTGCCAGTAGTTTAGGAAGGCTGTACCACAGAGTCAGAGGAGCGGCAAGGAAGGAGCCAGATGGTGAAGTCTTGTGTTTGCCTGAGATCCCTCTCCAACAGTGGTGCCAGTGCTGCCAGTGGCAACAGTAGTGGTGAGTTGGGAGTAGAGAAGGGAAGGGGAAGGACTTTAGGTGTGTCCTATGACCAATAAAGAACAACGTCTCAAAGCCTTGCCCCACTAATAGGCCTACCTTTTTTAGATCACAGTCAACAGTTATTTGGCAGTGACCTTGGAGTTCACGTACTCTTTGCTTAACTCATTTTTCTATATCTGCCTGAAGAGTCTTTACCAGGAACCCAATCACTCTTACCAATCAGCAGAGGAAAAAAAGAGAGCCTGTAATCCCAGAACTTTGGGAGGCCGAGGCAGGTAGACTACTTGAGGTCAGGAGTTCGAAACCAGCTTGGCCAACATGGTGAAACACTGTCTCTATTAAAAATACAAAAATTAGCCTGGCTTGGTGGTGCACGCCTGTAGTCCCAGCTCCTCCAGAGACTGAGGCAGGAAATCGCTTGAACCCCAGAGGTGGAGGTTGCAGTGAGCCGAGATCATGCTACTGCATTCTAGCCTCGGCGCCAGAGAGAGACTGTGNGCCTCCCTTGTGTTTGATTAGAGGGTGTTTCGACGAAGTCTAATGTGTCTGGTCTGATTTTCTTGGGCTCTGCTAGAACAAAAGCAGCCCTTGGGTGAGAAAGCAGAGGCAGATTTCATCGGCCTGACCCCAGATTCCCATTTTCTCTGTGAAGTTGGCTCAGCAAACAAGCAAGAAAACATACAATATCTTTGAGGAGCAGGAGCAGATGGATTGAAATGTTAAAAATCTGGTTTGTTAAATGATTTCAGCTAACAAAATAATTAGAGAGAAAAAGAAGCACCCAAACTCTGTTTCTTCCATAGTGAAATTTAAATAAGAATATCATTATTAATCACTCAGAGTCCTACTTGCAATTTCTATGCCTTTAATACTGATACTTTAAAGAAGAATGAAATGAAAATGAGTGAGAGAAAGAATGTCATTTGTAAACATTACTTTAGATGCAAATACTTAAATTTATATTGTTACATGATACAGTATGTGATCAGTTTTCCTCATTACATTTTAAAGAGTTATATAATTAGTGCATTTTTTTCTAATGGATAACTTTTTCTACAGTTCTCTTTTAAGGCTCTTTTAAAAACATGGCATTGCTAGAGGGATACAGAAGTGAAGTTAGTTACAGAAGGTAAATAGGTTGATGCCTAATTTACTGTGAGGCCCCCTATATTATAGGATATTGGTGGATAAAGTTGAAATACGTGTACCAAACACTGTTTGATGTTAGACACCCAAAGATGAGTAAGATCATGGCTGACAATGTACTAAGTACAACAGATAGTTTCTCCTGGACTCCTCGGTGAATTGTTTACAAGTTCTGTGGTAGAGGCCTATCCAAATGTTAGCTCTGTCTGGGGAGCTGACGGTGTTTTCACAACAGCTAATATTTAGACTAGGTCTGAAAGTAGAAATTACAGTTAACCAGAAGGGAATGAAGGGTAGATCAAGGTAGGAGAGAGCATCTCAGAACAAAAGCAACAGAGATATCTCTTGAAACGTTAAATTATTTTTCTCTTTTTTTCTAACTTCTGTTATATCAGTCGATGTTGTTATTTCTAATACATTTTGAAAAATTCTTCTTTGAAGAACGAATGGGCTGTGTCTTGTCAGCATGTAGTATGTATTAATCTTGCCAGTAAGGGGGTGGTGATCACAGATTCTATAAGCCCCACCATTAGTTCACTTAAGTATTTATTAATCATTTGCTGTCCTGGGCTGGACACTCACAAATAAGTGCTTGCTGTCAGAGGTGAGGTACGTGGCATGGGTAACACACATCTCCCCATTGTTAGACACGTCTGTGTATTGAATCAGTACAGGTTCTTCTAGTTCCAAATGTGTAGGTTGGTACAGAAGCAATTGTGGTTTTTGCCTTTAAAAGTAACTGCAGTGATTTTGCATGAAGTATGCCTTTTGTTGACTGGGCGTCCTTCAACAAGGTTGTTTATTTATAGTTGTCCGAAAAAGAAACAGAAGCTTTAAGAAAATGTTGATGTCAAATGGTAAATATATCCTTTCAAGGACCATGTAAAAATTGGTGACTATATTTAATGAAACTCTAAGTTTCAAAAAGTGTTTTCCTGTCTGTTTTAGACCTTAGCTGGATCTCCAAAATACAAGTGAATCAGCCGGCAGTTCTGAGGCGTGCGGAACAAATCCAGGCTCGCAGAACTGTGAAAAAGGAGTGGCAGGTAAGGGTTCTTCTTGAGCCTTCTGTGCCGGTGTTTTACAATGCATGGTCTCTTCCTTCAAGGCCACAATATTGAATTTCGCTCAAGATGCATCTAAACTTAAAAGATTGCAGCTGTCCATGACTTATTTTAATAATTCATATATGATGATGATGGGTTGGAGAAAGATAACACATTTATCCGAACAAGTTAAAAATCTTATCACTCTTGAGTGGCAAAGCCGCAAATGAATTTGAGGCATCTTTATTCATGAGTGAATTAAATGGCATATTTTCTCAACACATTTATTCAGTTTTTTAGACATGCCTTCTTTGGTTGTCTTCTATTTTAATTTTTAAAGCCCTAACATCTAAACCTGATGTGTCCACTGTTGAGGCCCTTAGGTATGAGTTGACCTTTCTTGACCATCATGTTTACCTTACTATTACTTTCCATAAATCATTTTTCAGAATTCCAAAAATGATGATTCGTAGAGTACTTGTGGTCAGCATTTTCTTCAGTGTATCCCAACCAAGGACGTGCTGTGTAGGGTTAAAAGGTATTCAGAGTGTTCATTTTGCAAGTGAGGCAGAGTATTGTGATTGAATCCTTTATAGTGATATTTCATATTTTGCTCATCCTTAGAAATGTTATGATTGAAAAGATAAAAGGAAATTCATCAGACTGAGTTGTGAAATATGAATGTTGTTTTAAAAATGGAATTGGATTACATTGAAAAACAAAACACAAAAAAACCTCAGAAACTTAAAAATAATAATTTCATTCCAGATTCCAGGGCAGGAGGCAAAATGTAAGATAGAAACCTTCTTTCAGACTTCTATGTCAGGGTAGCTATGATGGGTTCTCTCTATGGGTGAGATGGAGCAGTCAGAAGTGGGGAGACATGGGCTAATGGGGGTTTCAATTTAGGATATTTGCGGGAGAAAAAAAATGTTTCAGGCCCTTTCTCCCTCTTGTTTTATTTTGGGTATTGTTCATCTTATTAGTGGCTCTTGAACTGTGTTTATATCATGTATCAGAATATTCCACAGAACAGTGTAGACATAAGATATTAACACTCATGCTTGTCTAATGATTCTCTACTAACCAGCTAGGTTGGAGGTTTATTTATTTATTTAATTTACTTTGTTTTTACTTTTCTTCAAACCAGGCTGCTTGGCTCCTGAAAGCTGTTACCTTTATAGATCTTACTACACTTTCAGGCGATGATACACCTTCCAACATTCAAAGGCTCTGTTATAAAGCCAAATACCCAATCCGGGAAGATCTCTTAAAAGCTTTAAATATGCATGATAAAGGTAATGTTGTTGTGTGTGATCTCTGTGGTGGTTACCTGCTTACAATACTGTTTACTAAATCTAAGAGGACGTAAGATACAGCTGCTAATGATAGCAGTGATAGAATCCACTATAGAAACCCTTACTGTGTATATATAGACAAATAATTGAAATTCTTCTCTGAAAAACAGCAGGAAGAGAATCTGAGTCTTTTTTTTTTTTTTTTTAGGTCAGTTCTTTCAATCCATGGATTAAAGTGCTTGGTAGAGAGTGCCTTTATATTTCTTTTCAATTTTTGGTTTTGGAAAATTTCTGTTTAGTGACTCTAGAATACTGATTCTGATTCCCTAGCTATGTGTGAAAAAGCCAGTCTCATTACTTAATAATCACATCTCATACATAAAGTATTTTCTGTGAGTATATGAAATACTTTTGAAAATAAAATGCAAATGAGAAATATTGCCTGCTTGTATATTAGATTAGATCTTTCAAAAAAAGTCATATTCACTGCTTTAGTGTACATGAAAGGAAGGACTTTTCTAAAGTTGCTAAAGTTTAGAACCTTAGCATTTTGGGGATGTTGGATACATGTGAGAATTGATTCCTTTGTTTTCTAAATAAGGAAAACAAGACCTGGAAGGCCAGGCACGTCTTATTTCTTGCTGGGCTGGTTTTGGGAGCCAGATCTCCTTCCCATGGAGTATGCTTCATGGCTTCTGAGTGCCTGTCTGCTGTGAGTGCAGCTAGAGAGTTGAATTGGCCCAGTGCAGGTCTTTTATCCTGAATAATTTGTAGATAACATACAAACCTAAACAACTCTGTGCCTTTTGAAAAGTATTATGTGTCTTTCGAGTTGGCAATAAAAATACCGCCTTATTTATTGCACTTAAAGATAACTTGGTGTAAGGTCTTATGATATTGCTTTGTTTTATAATTACTAATTGATTTCTAAATTGTTTTAAATTGATTAACTTGTTTCTTAAAATGAGGGCTTCCGTTTCAGATTTTATTATTCCTTGCAAAAGAGGGAATAGGATTAGTTAAATGTCATTTTTGTGGTACCACTCTCTAAATTTCGCTTACGTTTTTCTTCATCTTTCCTTTTTCAAACTGCCCTTTCTTCAGATTGTCCTGTGTGAGTGCTCTATAAATCTGGATTTTGCTATCTACATGAAATGTTTTCATTTAGTCATGACCGCCAAGTTTACTATTTAGACATTTTTAGAAAGCAGTACTACATTAATCTAGAAGAAGAGTATATCAGACTTGTTTTTGTGACTAACAATGAGAAAATGATTCATGTTGTCAAGAACTAGAAGGGAATGTGGAAAGTAAAAATCTTTAAATTTATTGCAGCATTGTGGGGGAATTATTTTTTTCTCTCATTTGATTTTTGCCAACGTTGTGATATAAATAATAACTAAAAGCATGTTATGTGAGTTGAACTTCATTTAAAGTTGGCTATTCCTATGTTTTCCTGGTAGACATTACTACAGCCGCCGTTTGTGTTTATCCCGCCCGGGTGTGCGATGCTGTAAAAGCGCTCAAGGCCGCAGGCTGTAGTATCCCGGTGGCATCAGGTAAAACGTGTTGGGGCTTTTGTTGTTATTTTTTAAACATGTTTCCAGTTCTTCATACAATGGGGCATTATATATAGTTTTGTACTGTGATTTAAATTAGTTTCATGTATTTAATTAATTGTATTTATTCATGATTTTAGTATATATTAATTACTTAGTAAGTGGCAGACATATTTATTCCCAAGAATACAGAACTGCATGCCTATCCTTAAGGAAACTCATTTAGGAGGAATAGTCAGGTAAAGAAAAAAACTCATAAGGCATGATATATTATATTGATATATATACACACACACACTAACACACACGTATGCATGTTCTGTTTTATATATATGTAAGCTATAACAATAAGGATATGCGGGCCAGGCCTAAGAAAGGTCTTTAAAGATTTCGTGTGGTAAATATGTATCTGTGTGTATGTGGATGGATGAATAGACAGATATAAAATTAGATTCTTGTTTTAAGAGATGTTAGAGGAATATCTTGATTCTTTAAAAAGGGAGTCTAGGCCAGGCGTGGGGGCTGACATCTGTAATCCTACCACTTTGGGAGGCTCAGGCAAGAAAACTGAGTAAAGCCAGAAGTTTGAGACCAGGCTGGGCAACAAAGGCCTCTACACAAAAATAAACTAAAATAAGTAAAAATTTAAAAGAGGCTTATAAAGATCACTAGTTTATTAGGAATACATGAAAAGAAAATGGTACACAGTATTTCTATAGAATTGATTTATGAGGATTCCCAAAGTATTTGGAAGCTACACCTGTATAGACCTTAATTTTTCATTAGCCTGTTCAGTTCAGTTTTTGCTTTCAACAACAGAGAAACATGCTTTCCTCCAAGGTGGCAGACCTAAGGAATTTTATTTATTTTTTTAATGAGACAGAGTCTCGCTCTGTCACCCAGGCTGGAGTGCCATGGTATGATCTCAGCTCTCTGCAACCTCTGCCTCGTGTGTTCAAACAATTCTCTTGCCTCAGCCTCCCAAGTAGCTTGGGCTACAGGTATGTACCACCATGCCAGGCTAATTTTTGTACTTTTAGTAGAGACAGGGTTTCACCATGTTGGCCAGGCTGGTCTCGACCTCCTCACCTCAGGTGATCCACTCACCTCGACCTCCCAAAGTGTTGGGATTACAGGCAAGAGCCACTGCCCCTGGTCCCAGGGAATTTAATATCAAGGAAACATAAGAGGTTGTATCTAGAAACAGGGATGGAGAATTAATGATGTGCTTTTAAAAGATGTTACTATTTTTCAAGAGTTTAGTTATGTTTTCATTTTCCTCTTATTTACACTTGGATCTGCTCTTCCCAACCCTGCCCTTGCCCCAGTTTTGTGGACTAATTAATTAGGTGTGTTTTCCTCCTGCATTCTCTTTTCTTTATTCTCATCTGCCAGGCTGGTTGTTTTTAAGATAGGCAGTGGGAGAACACATATGACAGTTTGTTTACCATAGCTGAAGAGGTTCATGAGTGAGTTAATCATGATAAATTAAGAGTAAATGAGTTAATCAAGATAGCTAACTTGATCAACATTTGGATCCAGAACTAGTGTGCTGGATAACTAGTGTTCACTAAGACAGGGCTACAACTACTATTTTAAGACGATCACTATGAAGATGACATGATTTCTTAGGTACTGGTTACTTAATGCACCTTCGTGAGCATATCTGCAGCATCTTAATTTCAGGTCTTCCAGAAAATGATAGTATTTGTCCTAACACTAATACAGTATGAGAGAACAGTCTGTTTCTTCATACTTATGCATGACATAAGTGATGTTCTTAAGTGTCATTAATGCCTTGGTCTTTAAATGCTGATGTTGTGGGGTTTGGAATTCTTTGATGAACTACTGACCAATTGAAATTTGTTTTCTTCTCCCCACTTTCTTACTTTCCTTCTTCCCTCCTTCCCTCTTTCTTCCTTTTCTTTCTTATCTCTATTAGTGGCCACTGGCTTTCCAGCTGGACAGACCCATTTGAAGACACGATTAGAAGAGATCAGATTGGCTGTGGAAGATGGAGCTACAGAAATTGATGTGGTAATTAACAGGAGCTTGGTGCTGACAGGCCAGTGGGAAGGTACGTGCATGCTCTTACCTAAGAGAGTCACAGTTCTTCCCTGGTGAATCAGATGATGAGATAAACCATAGTACGTTTTAGAGGTCACTGTTCTAGATGACAAGTTAGTAGATCAAAGGGTGAATTTAGGAGAAAGCATGGTTGAGATTACTCATCCTTGTGCCCCTCATAAATCTAGGCAGTTGCCTACCTGCATGAACTTTTCAGATTCTTTTGAGTGCTTAGGTGAATAGTTAACTTCCATGCAATAGATTCATAACTTCGAAAACAATTTCATTTTACCAATATGCTTTTCTTTTAGAAGGGAAAAGTTACTACTATTCTGTACTGTTTTGTTACTCAAAACATACTTCACTCCAGGCAAGTCTTTTATGCAAAGCTTATTTGAATATATTGGAGGAAACTTCCCTTTTTTATGTTAATATTTGCAGTCTTTGAAGAGGTGGGATTATTAAGTTGACTAAGTTTATTTTTATTTCTAGCATTCTTACACAGCTCCGATGACTGTTATGAGATTAATGATTCACTCTCACGTCAGAATACAATAAGACATTGTACTTTCCAGCAACAGGCTTTTGTTTTTATAAGTAAATATTAAAGAACCAAGTAGATTTTACCTCTGTCTTAAGTATATTTTGTAAACTAAAGATGAGGTCATTGGTAGCTAGAAAAGTACAATTATCTCTTTCAAAAAAGTCATTATAATAAATAGTTTAACTAAAAATTTTTAATGAAATCACAAGTTAAAGCAGAATAATATATTATGTCTTTATATGTGTGTATATAAAATAAAAGGCATATTTTATTCTAATTATGAAAGATATACCTAGTCACTGTTTAAAACAAAAATCCCCACTACTCATAAAAGAAGTAGATATTCCTTGTAAACTCACTCCCTTGAAATAACCCGTGGTAACGCTGCAGTGTGTAACTTTCCACACTTCCCTACATAGCATACTATCCCCACACTCTCTTAAAGATTAAATAAAAGATAGAATTATATCTCTTATTTAACCTGCTTATTGGACTTGCCTGTATCTCATGCTTACTTTCCTGTGACTTTCTGTCCATTTGTATCTGTAAAGCCTTTATCTGTCTATTTGTGAAGCCTAATTCCATGGATTATCAATTATGAATTACTTTTGGTTATGAAGTAGCAAAGGTTCAGTCAGTGGTTTAAACACTTAGTATTTATTCTCTTATGTAAAGTCCAGAGGTAGGTACTCAGGGGTGTGCAGCAGCTCCTCAGAGTTCTTGGAGACCTGGGCTGTGTTTATATTCCAGTTCCAAAGCATGTGGCTTCTGCTATCAATGTTAAGGGAACTTCATTGTTGGAGATGGCTTCTGAAGCTCCAGCTCCTTAGACTCATCTTCTAGACCATAGGAAAGAAAGGCTTGTCTTGTCAAGCCTCACCCAGCACCTTTGCTTGTTGCACCTTTGCTTCTTACACCTTTGCCTGTTGGCCTGAGCTGACTGACGTGGCCATTCTTGGCTGCAAGTAAGCTGGAAAATAGAGTTTTTAGCTTGGAATATTAGCACATTCCTGTACATTCCCATTTCCATTGCCTTACCCCCACTGCCCCCAAGTTCCCCATTAATATTCATCAATGTTTATAATTCTTTCCAGGTTTAAATTCCTGACAGTTCACAAATATCTTTTTGTATTTTATGTTCCTTTTTATGATTGTTCATGTGTGTGTTTTAGCCAATTGCAGTCATTCTTAAAAGGCATATTTTAAATAGATGTCTCTGTTCTTACATATTAATTTTGCTTATCTGCTTTTAGTCATGGATTTCACTAAGATTTAAGGCTTGAGTTAAAAAGAAAAAGTAAGCATAGTATTTAAAACAAATCTGGCAATAAACTATAAGTGATTTAGTTGTACACAAACCTATATATGTCCTTTATATCTTAAGCAAGTGTAGATACAGAAATAGAATTTATATTATAACTTACACCTTTTATTAAGCAGTTGTGGATATAGAAATATGGTTTATATTATACTACTAATTGGAAAATAAAATACAATAGGAGATGGGTTTTGATGTAATCGACTGTCTGCCCCTTGATAAACTAGGAATGGTTGTTTTTAAGAACTGATAATTTCCCAATAACAGGCATTTATGCAAAATGTAATGACACATCTTTGTCCTGGACCATACTTCTCTATTAACTCTTTTTGTGATGTTAATAACCTCTTGACCCAAAACAAATTGAAAAGGAACATTTAATACTAGAAATTTAATTCTAAATAGAAACCTGAAATGACTTAGACCTTTTTTTCTCTGCAATATTTTGTCTTAATTTTGAGTCTCAATTTGATTACATATTGTATTTTTCAGTGTCATGTTTTAATATATGAGCCTAAAATTAATTTCTTGGAATTTGTGGGTGGAAATGTCTATCACGCAATTGCATTTTCAAATCTAGGGCCCTCTCCCTTGTGCAGTGAGGTTTGCGGGATACTTGGTAAAGCACAATAGAAAGAGCTTCATTTTATTTTGTTTTTTTTAAGTTCTGGGGTACACGTGCAGAATGTGCAGATTTGTTACATAGCCAAATGTCTGCCATGGTGGTTTGCTGCACCTGTCAACCCATCAGCTAGGTAGGTATTAATGCCGCATGCATTAGCTATTTTCCCTGATGCCCTCCCTGCCTCCACCCTCCCCTGACAGGCCGCGCTGTGTGTTGTTCCCCTCCCTTTGTCCATGTATTCTCATTAGGAATCTCATTTTTTAAACCTGGCCATTCAGAGTGGTCTTAACCATTTCTCATGGACATGGTCCGGAGTTTAGGGTATGAACTCAAGGAGGAGACTGGAGTTGGGTGGTGAGGGAGGTCTCATATTCCTCTCTGGGTTCTCCTTAATGACCACTTAAAATGTCCACTTTGCTGAATTTCTAACTTTTCCACCCTCCTTGAAGCTCCTTCACTGTTAGCATATGAACTACCTGCTACTTCTCAGAAAAAAAATCATTAGACAGGACATCCCTCCATGTTCTTGCATCAGGGCTGCTTTGCTTTGCTTTTTCCTTTTCTCCCTCCTAAATTCAGTCCCTCCACTGGGCTGTGGCTCTCATCTCCCCCTGCATTTTCAGAAGCCCTACTGTATCTATTGGGCATTCTTCCTCCTGTGTCATCAGCCTCTCTCTGCCAGCTCATTCCCATTAAGCATTTAGACATACTCAGGCTTTTCTTAGCCACTTAAGAAACAGAGCACATGCCAACTTTCCCTTTCCTTCACCCCCAGCCACCTCCTCCTTTCTTCTCTTCCCCCCATGACTGAAATTCTGAAAAAACGGCCAGTCGCGGTGGCTCACACCTGTAATCCCAGCACCTTGGGAGGCTAAAGTGGGCACTTTGGGAGACCTCATCAGCTCTTGTGTGCCTGCTGACACTGCTCGGTGCTCTGGTTCTGCAGCGCCACTCAGGGGTGGGGCGTCCTCACTTGAGGTCAGGAGTTCGAGACCAGCCTGGCCAACATGACAAAACCTCAGCTCTACTAAAAATACAAAAATTAGCTGGACATGGCGGTACATGCCTATAATTCCAGCTATTCTGGAGGCTGAGGTGAGTGAATCGCTTGAACCTGGGAGGCAGAGATTGCAGTGAGCTGAAATTGCACCACTGCACTCCAGCCTGGGCGGCAGAGTGAGATTCCATCTCAAAA